ATCCAGACTGGGCTTGTTACAGCAGGTTTCGCTTACATCTTAAAATGCCGTGCAAGAGCTGAAGCTATTGAGGGTATTTTCAACCTTGTAAGTCTGCAGAGCTCTTGAGTCATTCATTGTCTTCAGAAGGCTGGTGGTATATCCAGCAGCATGAAGGAGAAAAGTTCTGCGGTGCTTAAGCAGAGGCTGCATGAGCGGTGCTGCTATCTGGGTCTAACCCAGATTCCCTTGACTGTTCAAAGGGCTGAGAGCCCTCATTCTCTCAAGCACATCTCTATTGCTCTTGCAATCAGTAGCTCATTTCTGACTGCTGGGAAGTAAGAATAGTCTCATAGTAAATGTATGAGCCTTGGGTTTTTTTTCTGATTTTACAGAGTATGACTTTGAAGATGACTTTTATTTCTGTATTTGCTTTTATTTCCTCCTTTGTAAAATGCAGGTAATATTTAGCTATTCCAAATGCTTTTATTTTATCCACACTGCTGTCCAAAGCACTAAAGAAACTCAGATAGACAGGAAAACAGCAAACAGACAGGACAATCATAATCTGCTAACCATGGCAAAGGAGCAAGTTGCTGTCCCTCAGCTGCTCTGCTGTAGGTTGCCTCTATATTGCTTTGGTAGTAGTTTTTTTCTTGTTACACAGAGTGCAGCTGCTGTTTTACAGTGCCCGATTATCCCAGGCTCTGTATTTTCGAGATAGGGAACCGGAGATGGGAATCTATACTGAGAGTACATGGTAGGTCTAGACCACTGTACTGGGGTCCTAACTGAGGATGGAGGTAAGTGTTGGAGGCTGTGGGACCTGGGAAAGTAAGGGTTGTTGTATGAGACCTGAAGTAAGGCGCAGGGAGGAAAGCATCAGTGGCACCTGCTGAGTGAATTCTGCACAGGAATTTCAGTGACAGAAGGACCAAGGTACTGAGAAAGGCCTGGAAAGTGTGAGTGACAATTATCTGTGTCCTGAACACCTCACTTCCCTACTGGAACCTTGACATATAGTCAGCTTTAGATATGCCTCAGCAATTTTTTCCTGCTAAATCAAAAGGAAGGTGCTGGAGGGTTTTCAAACTCCAAGAAGGACTGATACCTTGATGGTGTCACTGTAGGTTGCACACATCAATATAGTTTTCCGTTCATGATATTTTGCAGTGCTGCCAACATTCACAAATTATTTCTAGTCTAGAAAAACAGTAAATCTGAGAACCACCTCTTAAAAGAAAATTTTTATTTTTCCCTATCTTAGGAGGAAATACTATTGACATTAATAAGAATGAAAATATCCTAATCTTCTTTTTATATCTGATTAGTTTTCTTTCTTTGCATTTACTTGTATGTTTTTAGCCCTCTTTACCTGGGGTGTTCAGACCAATGTAGGTCAAAATCCTCTTATTGATTAGCAGACGTCACTGTGAACACATGCTTATAACACTGGGGCTCCATGGAGGCATAAATATCTGACTGCCTACACTGCACTGCAGAAATAACAGGTTTATTCAGTTTTCCTTTTTCTCTCATTATTTTCTAGCCTCTGCTTTCACGGTAGTGTACATTTTAACAAAAAGCTAGCTCTTCTTAGCTGGCAGAACAAGCAGAGAACAGATTTTGAAACTGGATGGCAGAAGTGTAATAACTTTTTCAGAAACCCATAATTAGCTAGGTCACAAGATGTGCATACAGCATGTACCCATTTCTGTCAATACCCTGCTACCTTAAAGTTAGTCTCTTAAAGTTATTCCTGAATCATTCATTAAATGTAGATTAGACTTGCTGTCTTACCTAATCAAGCTTGCAGGAATTGAATTTCCTAAAAGTCTGGTGTCATTAGCTCTTCAGTCACTGGGAATGCAATGACTGGGAGTGATGGCAGTCTATGACAGGCCTGCTTTTTACTTGGCTCCCTATCCCTCTTGGGCAATTAGCTTCATTTTAGTCCTTGAAACATCTTTTAATAAAGCTTTTTTTCAGCCCTAGTGGGAATCTCTAGTTCCTGTAAGCAACCATAAGCAAATGTATGGTGTCTGAAATGCATGGTATTTTTTGCTGGAGCAGACATATGACCCAGTTTTTCCCTATTATTCAACTTCAAAAGGTATAGTTTTGAAGAAAGCACAAAGGGTTGAAGACAAAGATAAAGCAACTACTAACCAAATACAAAATATTTTGTTTGGCTTGATGTGGATTATTTGTTTTGGGTGATAATTGGTATATTGGTTTTCTGTTTCATATCCTCTATAAGACAAATGGTCTCAGAATGACAAAAATAAACACTTTTCCAAAGGTTTATATTACTGAAAGCATAACACACTGCAGGAAGAAAGGCTTTTCCTTCTCATGAATTGGGGTTGACATTTATCATGCAGCCAGATATATTGCAGTAGTTAGATATAAGGCCCAAGGTCTAACAAAACATTGTTCATATATTTTGTTATTATCATATAACTTTATTAAACACAGAATGGTGGTTGCATGACAGACCAGGTCATTATTACACTGAGATAATTAACCCTCAAAATGAAAATCATCTCAATATTCCACAAGCTTAGACTTTTTTTCCTGTTGGCTATTTTTCTTTATGAAACGCAAAGATATTTTCATAGTCCCCTCTTTTCGTGTAACCTAGATAGCTGCTCAGTGCTTGCAAAATCCTCTGAGAAATAAGAATGGATTTTCATGTGGGAATGATCTAACATTTCCATTTACCTGGAGTCTTTACAAGGATTAGATAACTAGATGGAAATAGAACTTTACTCAACAGAAATTAAGAGCTGGATCCTGCAAATTGCTTAAGAGCATGTCATCTTTCTCCACATGAACAGTCCCACTAGCCCAGCTCACTCCCGTTCAGACAGAAGCCATCTCTGGAGTGACGAATGGAGACAGAAATTTCAGCAAGGCTACATTTACCCCATTACCTGCTAGATTGTGAGCTTGTGAGATATTTGGAAAGTCAAGGTCCTAGTATGGAGGTTGAGGCCATGCAGAGACCATCTGTTCTACAGTGCTTCATTGGTGATGTCTCCATTGACTCTATAGGGCACTCTGGCAGCCTTGAAAAGCAGGAGCTTGCACCATTCGTGGTTTTCTTGTCCTTTAGCCACTACAGTTGTTGTCAACTCGGAATACAAGGCCTAAAAATAGCCCTTCATGCATGTGCTGTGCTAATGGGAGTAGCACAGTCCTTGTTTCACATTCACGTCTTTGGGAAACATCTGTGAAGCTGGAGAAAAAATGAAGAGCGTTTCCTCTAGCCACCTTTACTACAGGTGATTCCTCCATCCTACCCCCTTCCCAATATTTCTCAGGATAAATCTCTAAACTGCAATCCAGAGGAACAGGACACCTGACTTTCAGGCATTCAGACTCCTAACTCTACTCCTCATGGAAGAAGAATGGCCTTTCCTGTGCAGGGAGTGTGGCAAGCCAACTGAACTTCCATTAATGCGTGGGATTACTCATGTCAGTGATCAGTCACATCACAGTTTTCATTATCAGGCCCTGATTTTTTATATTGCTTCCCCCACACCCTTGATGATGTGACGAGTTCTTCTCCACAGAGAGAAACATTAGGAAACACAGAGCAGAAGATGATATTTAAGAAGTCACAGCAGGGGCACTTTACTCATTCCAGTATTACTGCATTTTATATCTGTAGGCTTTATCATTCATTGAGTGCTTGTTTATGTCTCTAAAAATCATTGAAAATACTTCAGTTTCAAAATGCCGTCTGGGTATGATTTCCATTACTAGTCAGAAAGTAGTTAAGAGAGTCTGATGCACTTCTACAGAGAGTAGGAGGAAATGATGTTTACCACCCTCTTTTAAGCTGATCTGCAAAATGCTGTCCTTTCAAATGTCTCCCAGGAACAGATTCTGAGTAAGGATGGTATTTTTTTCAAGCCTTGTTTTTCTTTTTTTTTTTTTCCCTGCAAAACACTGCTCTTGTTTTCTTTAATATTTCTATCTTCCTTCTCAGGGAATGGTTATTAATCACTAAAACAACCAAAAGACACATTCAGTGCAAGTATCTGGAGGCCTTTCGGTTTTGATTTTGATTCAAGGAATATATTATTCAACACTGTTATTTGACAATAATGCAATTAGACTGTTTATAGTGACTTTTGGAAGAAATAAAATTAATAAAGTGGTGAAGAGATGCAGCATTCAAATTACAATATCCTGGATCACTTGATGTGAGCATCATCCTATTAAATAGTCTCACGTTCTTCTTCTTGCATCAAGTTCAAGTCAGCTAGTTGAAGAGGAATTTAGGCAGAGGAAAGAGGAAGTTCCTCCCTGACCTTTGAGTAACTCCAAAAAAGTATTCTGCTACTACACAGTTTTGCAAAAACAGAATCATTGGCTATCCTTCCTCCTTTGCTTTGGAAAGGGCACTCTGCTTCTACCGTCCTTCCCTGCTTAGGTGCACTGGAGGAGACCCAGCTGTGGAGCAGAGTGGGAGAGAAGATCCCATGAGTCCTTCCACTAGCCTGCTTTTTCTGCTGTATGTGGGGTGGCACACGATCAGCAAAGAGGATCCTTCACTAGTCATGTGTTTCTCTTCTTACACTGATGAACTCTGCAGGTGGAGTCCTCCCACCTCACCAGCGTAAGCTGGACCTTTGGACCTGGCCTTTGGGCTAACAGATCAGTGTCCAGAAGAGAGAGCCTAGCTCTGCCTTCTGTGAAACCTGTCAGCCTTGGCACATCCGTCGTGCCTTTCAGAGACACCTGCTGCAGACAGAGAAAGATTTCTGTCTGTGTTATCCCTGTTCCAAGGCACCCAAGTGCCACACAAACTCTTTTTCTCTGTTTGATCTTGGGGCTTCCACGCAGAAGGCCAGTACTTTGCAGCAAATTTTCCAGGTCCTTGAATAGTGAGTGATGTTACAAGACTCATTAAAACCTACCCCTCAGGAAAAATATGTAGTTAATATCCACCTGTCTGCTCTAATTACTTGTTTATTGCATATTGTCTCTGCATTTCTTCTCTGTTTCAGGGTGTGAGTTCAAAAGAGCAGTGACTGCCTCCTGTCTTACATATATACAATGCCTCATACCATGTGAGATTATAAAAACAGGGCTTATATATTGCCTTTTTCAAAATGTCCTGAGGATATCTTCCTATTGTTTAATACGCTGCAGTGCATTGACATCCTCACCAGACAAAACTGCCTCTGTTCTGACCAGCACAGCTACACCATTTTACCACTGAGCCCTGCTGAGAATCTGCATCCATGAGCTCAGGCAACATAGCTACGTTGCTTTGAGCTTTGAACTGAAGCAAGCATCCTGAAGAGCTTGATGTTGGATGAACACAGGAGCTTGGGGAATCACTACACTGTAATCCACACTGGGCTGGGGATGTACCCAAAATGGCTTTGGTTTGTGGCTTGGATAAAAACACAGTGAGACATGTGGTCTAAAATTAGTCAGGGAACCCTGAAAATTTTTTTCATTGTACCTCTCGCTGCTTGGTGTGGAGCCATGATGGGTTCGAATATGCACCCGTTGCACCCATACCTTTAGGAAGTTGGTGGCTGGGGAGTCTCATGACCTGAGTGAACCATCGATGGCATCAAGGCAGCCCAGCCCTTTACCATCATACTGGAAGAGGAAGGGGGACAGCAGTGGAGTGTCCAATTGCTAAACAGACTTAAAACATATCACTCAGTGTAAGCAACTGTCACCAGGTGCTACGTGACTGTGAGATACTGTGGTTTGGAAGAGGAAGTGGCTGACGTTAGAGGGTCCATGGGAATTTTTCAATACAGCCACTGCCTGTACTTTCATCAGTGCTTGTTTCTACGATATTAGATTTGACACAGCTGTTGCTTGCAGGGCTTTTCTTTGAAGAGTTAGAAAATCCTAAAGCTGTCATTTAGTGAGTGATACTCTTCTATAAACTATCTGGACTTCTATAAATATTGCTGACTCCATGCAGGGCATTATTATCTAATCTCCCAGGGAACATCTCTAATCACAGTCTACCCGCCCATGTCAATCTAGGACACATCCAACCCTTAGAAATAGCAGTGGAGAAATCATAAACTGTTCTAACACATGGAGTTGGCAGACAAGTGCGAGACAAGATCACAAACTGTGCAAAATGAACAGTTTGCAAGTGAACGTGCTTCTCTCTTTCCCCATCAAAGTGCTGGTTGAGTATCTTACGATGACTTCAAATTAACACACTAGCCTCCTTTCTTTTTTTCTTTTAAATACATTTCCCTTTAATCAGAGCTGCCTACTTGACAGTAACACAATTACCTGCAGTGGATCATCTTCTGTTCCATGACCAAAGTGGTCTCTTTTTTTGTTATGAATTCGTAAAGTTTTCCAATTGAAACAGGTCTGAGTGCCATATAAGAATCAGTGTTGGTTTAAGTCTGCTGTGGAACAACTGCAAGACCTAATTACAACCTCTTCTTACGAGCAAATAGTGAAGGAGAATAGAAGTCAGGAAAAAGAACTGGATGGTTCTATTCACCTTTATCTTAAATCAAACTCACCATTCAGGAGATGGATCATGAATGACAGGGAAATTGTTTTCTTCATTTCTAGGTTGGCTTTAATGTAAGTCTTCCTTGAAAAGGCTATCCATCGCACAAGTCTAACTGCGAAGCGTGAGTTTGTGCTAAGCCCGTGTACCATTTTATGGTGGAGAGAGGTTTTTGTGAGGATTTTGGGGGGTGGTTGTCTAAGTTTGTTCACTTAAAAAGAAAGAAAGAAAAAAAGAAAAATGAAGAGTGTTCCCTGGTAGACCACACAGGTAAGACATACAGCAGGCTCTTCCTGTACACCATGTGTATGACTTAAGAACACCAGCTTGCATTGTCTGGCTGAATACAAAAGTACTTCATAGTCAGCAAAGGCAAACATACGGCGCTGGCAACATTCCAGGTAAACAGGCTCATGCAAACAAGATGATAAATATATGGCTGGTGTCAGTTGTCTTTGCTATTACTTATTATTTATGGAGCAACCTTGAAGTGCAATGGAGTACGAGATCTGAAACTTTTTATTGCAACAGTGGTTAGAACTTCACAGGCGTTACCAGGTTTTTACCCTAGCCATTAGGGAGAAGTTTACATTCTCCACCACATACCAGCCTGGATACTTTTTAAGCTGTACAGATACCAATGAGATTACCACTTCTGAGAAAAGTCTTACTACCTAGTAGTCAGGGCATCATAGGTGTCAAGATATGGGTTTAAAATCTGAAAATCTGGAGGTCTCCTATTTTATTTTTTTAATTTTAGGAGTGTCATAACAGGTAATCATTATGCAAAGAGTAGGGTTGCCATCTTTGAGAGCAAGTTCCAGAATACATACACAATTCTAGGAAAAAGTTTAGTGTATGTGACTGCTAACAAGCGCTTCACTTCGGCTTCAGCAAAAGGATGCTACCTGCTGAAACAAGTGGGTCACAAGCCTGTAAGTCTCCATCCTTGGAGATACTCAAATGCCATCTGGGCATGGTCCTGGGCAACCTGGCTCCACGTGGCCCTGCTTGAGCAGAAGGGTTGAACCAGATGACCTCCAGAGATCCCTTCCAACCTCAGCCATCCTGTGATTCTGTAAGGTGTTTCCTCTTGGCTTGCTTCAGCAGCTTTAAGCCACAATGTATTGGATCTATAATTCTAATTTTAGAGGTATAACCTCCCTTGCATTGTTTAGGGGACACGTGTAGCACTCAGGCCTGCAGGTGACACTTCGAGGCAGAAAAGTATTCAAACCACTCAACATGAGGAACCTGAATTAGTCAGCATAGTTGTTGTAGGAAGAGACAAGTACCTTCATAGCTCCACTCAGAACAGCTGAATTTGGAACAAATGACCTGTGGCAAAGGAACATTTTGTTTTTCTGTTCTGGTTTCGGGGTTTGGATTTTTTTGGTGGGGGGTGGGGGTGTGTGTTTTAAATGGGGAAGCTTTTCAAAGCAGATTTGACAGTTTTCTATTGCTCAAAACTAACACTTCCTTCTGCAGTCTATCAGGAAGTTACTTAGAGAAAATTTCCTAACATATCCATATAGGTTTGCATTCACCTTCAGTGTCATTGAAGCCAATTCCCAATATCCTATATGTTTAGTAATTATGTTTAATATGCAACAATGCAAACAGATTAGTGACTCCTTTCCTGAATTAAAATATCAGCATGGAAGCAAAAATAGAAGTATAGCTTTATTAGAGAAGTTATCTAAAATACAATATTATTTTCCTCTTTAAATTAGAGCATATATTATTTCAATGAAAAGATATTTTGCATTATTTCTATGGTAATAACAACTTTTAAAGATAACACTTAATTTAGGACATTTTTAATTAAAAAAATCCAACACTACCATTAAGACATAATCAAAGTTATTGATAGTAGCATGGGTAAAAATGTAAAACGGTCTTAAAAATATTTACATGTCAGTTTCTTAAAATCTAAGAAGTCTAATTCTCAATATTCATTTTGCTTTACTTTCTCAAAATACTTTTATTCCTAAATCATACCTAGATTCTGTATTCCTGTGCTTTTCACAAAGCTTCAAGTTATCGTTAGTTATGTGTACTATCACACCAGTGGATGAGGTTTCTTAAAATGGCTTATTTTGCTATGACCATATCCCCTCCCAAGTAGCCAACATACTGTTATACCAAAGTGTCAATCACAGTAATAGTCACCAAAATGCACACAGCCACCACACCCCCATGCCTCCCCCAACCCCACGCCTTAAGAACCCTTTCCTATTTGGCCAAGAGCCTTTCACATTTCATTAGCTGGCATTTTAGATGCAGAGCGAAAGAAAGAATGGATCTGGGAGACAAGATGTTGCCAGGGCACACATGGCAAAGGTTTGATTTGTGCTTAGCAAAAGGGGCTCCTCGCAAACACAGCAATTTCTAACACGCTTGGCTCTGAGGTTACTGGAAGGAAGCTCTGACTTCTCTGCTCTTCAAAGGCTGACATGGGCGCCAGTTGTCCACCATATGGCACACGGGCTCATTCTCAGCACTGAAGCAAAGGCCACGGAGTTTGCACATCTGTGGAAAAAAGCACAAACATCCTCAAATGCTTGCTCTTGTTTCAGCAGGACTATTTGAATTGTACACCTTGGGCCTGAGCCAGAGGTCCAACTCAAAATTTCGCCAGCACTAATGGTCTAGAGATGGCGTCACCACCCACGTGTCTCTGCATTTCATCCACACCATTTCCTGCCCCTGACACAAGCTCTCCTGGCCACAAAATATCCTAACAAGAAGAGCTAAGAAAGCACAGAAAACAAGGATGTAGGCACACATTTCCTGAACTCTGTGCACAAAGAGTGCTTTGTCCTTGATTCAGAATCCTTTGCAAGTTGTAGTTATAGCTCTTTTGAAAATCGGATTTTTTTAATCCAGTTGAAATAAAAAAATAAAAAACCAAAAACCCCCCAAAAACCCAAACATACCTTACCCCTTGGGTCAAATTAAACCAGCCAAATTCATTCAAGATATCTTGATTTTCAAGTACTGTGAGAGGGAAAACTGTTCCACACCAATAGGAGCATCCTGTAAAGTTTTAGTGCTTGTTCCTGAAGTAAAACTGGCATTTGCACAGTCTGATGTAATAAAAGCATCTTTATGTCTAAGTGGGCACCTCCAAAACTAGTAGAAAGACTGTGCCAAAGTAATGACCCACCCCATCTCACACAGACAGCTGGAACTGCTGACAGAAATATGTAGGTGGGACACAGGACTTCTATGCAGCCAGGCTGCAGGCCAGGCTTTTCCTCATTCAAGGAGGAAGGCCACCAGCAGTGACCAGCCCAGAAGAGGGCTTTACCTTCAGGACCGATCAGAACAAACTTTGGAGCTCAACCTCTACCTGGAACTGCTGTGTCACTACAGCAAATAACAAGCTCACTACACCCTGCTGTAATAGCCAGCTTTTATCTATCTTTGGAAAACCAAGTCAACTTAAACCCAGTGTCAATACTCTGCTTTACAGTTTCTTGTTTTGATCAGTTTTGGAATGAAAAGGCAAGCTGACACACACACTGTTTTGATCTCAAATCCGTCTTTGAAATGTCGACGGTAATATGGAGGGCTGTGTGTGGGAGAAACAAGTGATGTCTTTTACCACTTCTAGGTGGTTAAAGTAGGTGTAGTAGGAAAAACAACTCTGTTTTGGTAAATGTGCTCCTGCCCTATAATAAAACCATATTTGCAAACCTCAGATTATCAATAGCAATACCAGTAGTTTAGAACAAGTAAACAGTGTCAACTTTAATGCTCCCTTGCAGTTCATTAATGGTAATCATTGCTATAATTATTATTTCCAATAGTTCTTCCTTGTCATTTATTCTATCTTTTATTACATTAAGTCCCACAACAGCTCAATTGCACTTTTTTCACATCAGCTGAAGAAACCCCCTAGAATTATGTGTATTGTTAGCATGTCTGCCATTGATACAAGGGATTTAAGAGTCTGAAGGGTAAACTAAAGCCCTTCAGGGCTAGTTTATATTTATAGGTTCTAGATTCTATTTATATCCCCCAAGCACACAGATCCAAACCCGAGGATGAATCTTGCCTCTATGTAATTTCCTTAATGGATGGTGCAGAAAGCTAGGGCCAGGAGTGATTTAATCTGCACGAGCTCCTTCCGACTAGGAAAAGTTTATCTTCCTCAAGCTGCTCAACAGAATGAAGGATTTTTTTCAGGCAGAAGACTTCTGGAATTTGCAAGTTTTGCCTCTTCCAAACAACACAGTTTTGTTAGGATTGTCACAATTCTGCATGGGATTTCCCAGTCTGTTCTGTGCTGAATACAACTTGTAAAATGAGCTCTCTGTCCTGCAAATGCTGGAAGATCAACAAACCAACTACAGATCTATGGTATGAGACTGGATGCAGAACACGTGCTCTTCAGATGCCTGGTAAGCCCAGTATTTTCAGGGCAAGTATACCCAGACAGGTGATGTGTGCATGTACATCAAACCTGCTGATGCTCACAATACATGCTAGACTAACTCTGCATGTGCTAACGGTCCTTTCAGGCATGCTACATTTTCCCAGATGTCACCATGTATTTGGAAAGCCTGATTAAATTTTTAAAAAAACCCAAATTTTCCCCAGACTGTGTCCAAACAGAGGACAGCCTTACATTTTACAGCAAACTCTACTTCCACACATAGAAGCAGTGTCCTGCCAGGAGAGGATAACCACTTCAGATATGTATTTTTGACATGTGATGCTAGCTAATACCCTGCATAGCTCTGCAGTAACATAAACCACCACTTCAAAGATCACCAGGAGGGCTGAACTGAAGCAATCAATATGACTCCAGTACACATTTACTGGCAGCATCCATTGTAGACCTACCTGCTCGGGGCTGACAGTGATGGGCTCCTTCAGAACGTGCCAGATCACACATTCAAGCAGTGGGGGAGTGGTCAGTGAGCCAGGGTACGTCCAATAGTCTCTGCATGCAGGAAGCAGTCCAGTGGGGTCGAAGTTTGTGAAGGAAGCTTGCTTTCCCTAAAATAAAGAAAGTAGATGGGCTAACGTCAGGGGAGAGACCACATACACACGCTGGGCTTGCAGTGGCGATGTCTCCTGTGGGACGTTTGGAAAAAAGGCAGAAATGGAGTTTGGCATGAAGTGTCGAGTGCCTCCTACAGTATGTTTGGGATTAAAGACTTTCAGCAATATATTTCCTGTGTTGTAAGACTTTCAAGACATTGTTTCTCACTTCAAATGTTGAATTTACGTTCCTTGCTGCTATAGATATGATTTGACCTTGCTTGAAGGAACAATGAGACTTCAGGTGCCATGTACACTGATTGCACTGGAAATATAGAAACTGGGAGACCTGTTGGGGAGTCCATTGCAGTAAATGGCAACATCCATTTACCTCAAAGGGAGCCTGATGACAAAGATGACAGCGTAGTCTCATTCTTTACCTTTCCTGTCCACCTTTCTCATTGGGACAGGCCTTTAACTGCTGCAAAGGTACCTAATTACTCAGTAAGTACTTTTAGTTTCTCATTACTCAGCTCATTAAGATCACACACACTCTTCACACAATATTTAAAACACAGAAAGGCTTTTTTTTCCTAAGACTTATATATCCTGATCAAACCTCTTATCTGGGCTCTCTAGAAACAGCCAAGAGAAGCATACCCTCTTGGAGGAAGGAAATTTATCCCACAGATGCAGAGATGAGGGGAAGTGCTTTCTGCATCTGTCACCACTGACTACAAAGGGCACCGAGAAGAGTAGTTTAGATTAGGAAGATGAATCCTACCCTATAGGTTTAAATGCAGTTAAGAGGTAGAGAAATGTAGTCAGAGACACAAAATTATCACTGTTTCTAGTACTCCCTGCCCTCTACCGCAACTTCATTCGAACCTTTTTTTGCATTTAGGATTACAGGACAGTCATGCTGATGGCAGGAATGTTTGTTTTACTTTGGTACCTGCAGCAGACTGGGAAGAAGTAAAAAATCCACTTTCTGAAGAAGACAACACGAGACAGTTGTGATTGGTGTCAGTCAACACAGACAGCAAATATTACCTTGGTTTGAATGGAGTTCAGAGCATCCACAACTTTCTGTATTTCAGGCCTGGCATTTCCTACCTGTAACACAAACCATATGAAAAAGAAAATAACCATGCACTCCCGTGATACCGTTAGTCTTCTAGTTCTCAAGGAAACATTTTCCCAGCACCATTTCATTACATAACAGAAGTATTACAGCAAAAGTGACTGGAACCATCTCTGTAAAATCATGCCAGTTGACAGTCAGCACAAATGGGTCAGCCAAGGACACTGGACAGAATAAAGTTATTTTCATTTACAGTGTGTGGATTTATTTTTGGACTTGAGCTGTTCTTTTTTTTTCACAGAAGTCACCCTCCTAATAAAATACAGTGAGGCCAGGACAGAATGCATACTGCTGGGGCACAGTCACCTTCTCCAACTAGCTGTTAAGACAATTCACCTAAGACAAAACACCCTGGACATTTAACAATGACAGGAAAGGGAAAATAGGTGTTATTTAGGCTGGTACTACTGCAGATTCATACATGCGTAACTTTGTCAGTTATGCACATCACCTTTCACTGACAAGAGTTATGGCAGTGTCACTGTCGTGATGAAGGCAAGTATGCTGCTATAGGGCTGCCACAGTGATAGATGGCAGTCATACTGTATGGCTGTGTACAATTTTTATATGTAGAGAAAGACAAAAATTTGGAGCACCACCTAGTTTGGTACAGGTTTAGGCAGTATAGCATAATGCTGCCTTATTCTATATTTTAGGCTCTTAGGTCCCCCTGCAACACAATGAATATACTGGACTCATCCAAATAATATAAAAGAAAGTTTAACTAACCTTCATGAAGATGCCTACCACAGCCAAACCATCAGGATGCTTCACAGCTTCAGCAAATTTACCATATTTTACGTTCCAGTGAACAATATGGAGCTAGGAGCAAGAAAACAAGAAGCACTATGAAGATGATATTCCATCCACAGTATTTTATAAATGAGGATGCAGGTAAGCAATTTATTAAACATTAAGAGCAGACAGTGTTCTACTGCTGAGATTTAAAACCTTTTGTGTACAGTTAAAAACTTGTTGAATCAGTCAGCTACTTTCAAGTTTCACCTATGCAAAGAGATTTCTGTCATGCATTTTATTTTGCTTCTTACTCTTATTCCTAGATGAGTTTTAAATGCAAACTGTGGCTGTATCATTCTGCTTTTAGTCTGGTGAAACTTCCGTTACCTTCAGCATGAGTTTTTCCTGTATGCAGCCTGCAGGATTTTGATGCTATATATCCTGGAGTTCTTATTAACACTGAAATACATGATGGTCAGTGTCAGAAGCAGCAGAGAAGACACATTAACTATAGATCTGACTGCAATCTAGAGAGTTTTTAAAAAACACTCCTTTCCTTTTCTGGAAAGCCTTTGAAAAGAATATGAAATGAATCTCCAGGTCACATTAGCCAGGATGTTGCTTTCTTCTTCATTTCCAAGTTATTTCTAATTTAATTTCATCTGGATGTTTCCCCACATTGGCAAGTCGAGCAAGTAATTATGGTACTGTGAACAGACATAAAGCAATGGCAAGTTTCTCAGATAAGACAAAAGCTACTTCCACCTCATGCAAAAGCAGCAGAGCCAACAAATTTGTGGGGCCATTTCTTTCATCTGTCAATGCATATCACAGGTATGTTCAGTCAACGTGCATTTATAAAAGGGTTAAAAAAGTCTGTCACAGCATCCAGAGGTAGATTTCTAAACAGGGGACAAGGAAAGGTAGGATGCAAGGTACTAAGTCACATCATTTCTGTCGTGAGACTGTAATACAGAGTCTTAAGCGGTACAAGGGACATCTGGAGTCTTAAGGATATTACAAAGACTGCCTGCAAGGTCTCACTTTGCTGCCTGTCCTCTTCACAGCTCCCCTTGCTTTTTTGCTACCAAAAGATGAAAAGGTCTGCCCCAAAATTATTCTGTTATTTATATAAATGTCTCTGATGTTAAAAATTGAAGCCAGGAAAAGGGGATATGTGTGTACAGGGGTGCTGCAGTTCTATTTCTTCATAATTTTCAAGAGTCACCAAGAAAGCAGGGGAAAACCAGGGATAATTAATGTGGGTTTTTCTGCTTCTGTAGTCTCTTTGACATGAAGTAGCTGAGAAAAAAAATATTACAAGAGTCCTCCAATTCTAATCTCTGCTCTTGCAAGGAGCAGGTCCTGGGGTGGCATTGTACCAAAATCATCTATGGTAACCTCCACAATCTCTTGCTCTACAAAGATCTGTAGGGAAGCTGCTACTGTGGTGAAATATTAAAAAAAAATACTCATTATACACAAAAGACCGGAGAAGGTAGAGCATGTCCTACCTCTGCATCATACTTCACACCATCCACAGTGTGCTCAGACCCTTGGCCCTCACAGGATCCCCAGTGAATATGAAACTGTGCCAGCCTGTAGACTCCATCCAGCGCTCCTCCTTGCAGCACTGCAATGCAAAGAGCCTCTATTAATATCGCCCATAACCCTTGTTATCAAGTCTCACTTCAAACTGGAATGTCCATCTCAAGTCTTCCAAGTGAATTACAGTTCATTGCTCTGCATGCTGCCATGCTACTCCAGACCATCTTCAATGGTACATTGCTGCAATATGCCAAAATCAGTAATAAACACAGAGAAATTTAAGTGACTTAACAGTTAGCGTTGCATCAGCAATTTAACAGGCATGCTAATATTACAGGTGATGAGGGGAGAGCTAAGGATGCAACTCTTCTGTCACCAAATAAATAAAAAAAGGCCAAGAAAAAGAACAGCCTTTATTAGAGGCCCATGTAGAGTTATTCTATGGAAGTACACTTGAAGACCAAATCATCTTTCACTTACTAATGTACCCTGTCCCTTCATTTTAGACACTTTATCCATTTAGGCCTTAATCCTGCAAATCCTGTGGCAGATTGGATTGAGTAAAATGCTTTTGATTCCAAATTAAACCTAAACACCTGTTAGCCATGGGTTGCAGCAAGGTAAAGTGCTAGGCACAGTGCAAGGCACTGCAGAGATGAGAATTCCAATCTCTTGTCCCTCCCATCCTTTACTCCTCAAGAATGAATTTAAAAAATGGTGGTGAAAATGGCAATGCCCGCAGAGGCAGATTTTTTAAAATAAGGATTGGAAATGAGGCGTTTACTTATGCTCTCCACTATCTGACATTACTCCTGCTATGGGACTGCTGTAAGTGGAGTGCTCAGCCACACTTTCAATTATACAGGAGCGAGTTCCCCTGAGCTCCCTTATTCTGCTTGTTAGTTTTAACCTTGTACTTAAACTGTGACCAATTGCCATTATGATATGCAGGATCAAGCCCTACTACTGCAAAATGCTCAATGCACAGACAATGTCTCCTCCAGTGCAGCATAAAGCACAGAACAATAACAAATAGTTCTATTAAATAGAGCTATTTATCTAAGTTATTAGAGCAAGGTTTTACACTGGTTTGTGGTTTTGGTTGGGTTTTTTTTTTCCCCTAAGTGTCTCAAATTCACAATTAAATCTTTAAGATGTTAATATTTAAAAATAAAAAATATTTTAAAATGTAATTTGAAATGTTATATATGTTAGAGATCAATTTATCTCTCTCTCTCTATAAATATATATATACAATAAAGTGACAGAAGAGTGTTGACATCAGATTTTACAGGTAAGTGTGCTCTGTGTATGTGTCACAAACAAAATGGTTCTGTAGAGTAAAGATGCTTTCCTCTCACTCTGCAATTAGTCTAGACGCTATCACAACACGTGCATGTGTGAAAATATACATCAAATGCAAATAGGAAAAGGTCACTGTCTGTTCAGGTTTGAATAATTCTGATTATATGCAAGCATGGATAACACAAGCCATGGACACTTGGCAATGAGGTGAGAAGAATTTGACTAAAAAACTGGAATACACGAAAATTATATGTAAGATGTATATAAAACACATTAGTTTCCACTGGTGTGCCTCACACATGCAAAATTTGGGTTCAGTGGACAAATTTAGCATTTGCCTGGGGCTCCTTTGGTAAATATATTTAGAAGTCTCCCAACATGGATCTCTATTTGAAAAATGTGAATGTATGTTCCACTGCGGTCTTTGTAACTTTGAATACGGTAGCCAACACTGAACAGCCAACAGACCAAGACTTGCCCTACCTATTGCCAAGCTGTGTGATACAAAGAAGAATAGCTACTTATAGTAATTAAATAGGAACATATCTTATTCTACTTTAATGTTTCTGCATGTGCTAGTTGCCAAGAAGCATAACTGTTTCAAGCACAGGACTACAAATCAGAATACTTTTTTCAGAACAAAGACTGCGAATGTGCATTAGTTCCTTTTGAAAATGAAGTAATTGGTTGCTATGTCTTTACAGATGCAAAATCATTTAATCCACACAATATCATGTTTCATTTAAAAATGATGCCATGGAGTTGCAATGTTTCAGTTTCAGTTCCTTTGGCTAATGGACTTGCTGCTCGTTGCAGGTACAAATGGACTGAGGTTCCACCATTCCTCAACCTCAGAAAGCACTAGCGCAGCACAGGTTAATCTGCCATTATTAATAATGGAAAGCATGCTGAAAAGCAGAACCATGCAGTCTTCTTAAATCCATTTGCAGTGTTATTTCTCTATACAAAGTTTGCTATAGTCTCATAAAACTAAAAAGATGCACAAAAATCTCTTTGCAGTTTTTGCTTACTTTTCTCATTCTGTGGTTCTCAAATCCAGCACTAGCTTATTTTGACTCACAGCAGAGCATTCAAAGAAAGTAATAATTAGATTAGTGCGAATGAATACAAATTCAGCAGGCTTAATTACAGAACAGCCCTTCTTGTTCTAGACTACATTAAGCAGTTATTTTTTTTTAATACTTCTCAGACTTTCCAAAGAAGTAAACTTTAAAATTAAACTTCAAAGGCAAAGTAGGAATGTTAGAGCTTCATTTTTTTTCCAGCACAAGCTTTTTAAACCATGAATAAATGCTACCAGCTTTTGCAAAGCAAAAGTTCATCGAGAATCAGAGGAACGTTCACACCGGGAACTTCCCTGTCCTTCCTTGTCCCATGTGACGTGAACATCGATTCAGGCCACACTGACGACAGAAGTCCAACCCTTTTTTGAGGGATGGGGAAATCCTTATCCATACTTGAGCATCTCGTTAGCTCCCTTCACTTTGAAATTAGTATTAGTGAAAACCATCCTGGAAATACATATGTAGCTGTGCTCCCTTTTGTTATATAGCACAGCTTCAGATGCAGGGTGAAGACAGCACAAGCCAACCTGGAAAACACATTCTTTTCTTACAGATTCAACCTACTCAGCACAATCTATGTCATAACCTGGTCTCCATAGACATGTAACAGCCCAAGAGGTGACAGCTTGAAAATGCAACTTTTTTTTCCTATTTGACAATTATTTGAAATGTTACAGGGAGACATATATGGAGCTACTTTGCTTAGATTAAGAAATGGTAACTGCTTTCAACTGTCTACCCTTTACTGAAGAAGTTATACTAGCAACATCCAGTAATTATATTGCACTGTTATTAAATGATCTTATAACATTTTCTAAATTAGGTGAACATAAGTATTAGCAGCGCTAATTGGAAAGTCAAATAACCACATGAACTGTTCCATTTACATCTGTGGGATTTCTTGGATAAAGAAGGTGAACTTGATTTGTTTTTACACCTTCTCAGGATATTTGGAAACATACAGAAATCAAAGGGCATTTTGCTGCATCTGGGACAGCTGTCTACGGAGGCCACACAACTTCGCTGCTCTATTTAAAGGCAAGTCACTGGGTAGTTACCCTTCCCATGCAGAACAGAACAGCTGTGTAAAAAATACTGTGGACCACTTCATACCTTTCGTCAGGAAGTGGCAGCATCTGCATCTGTGAATTTTTGGAGGAATACTGTGGAATTACTGTTATTTAGTTACCTCCTATGGGATGTTCTCTCTATACAGAGCAGGAGACTAATAAATCACATTAAGGCAATAAACCTGTCAAAAAAGTAATCAAAATGGCTGAACTACAAGACTGTTTCATGAGTTAGAATGAATTCCTTCCAGTTATATATATTAGTGTGGTAAGAAAAATACTACTCTAAAGTTTGTTACTCTGAGAAAATGCAGAATGAGAAAATGTTCTTGAAATGGAAATCACTGACAGCAAAGCTCCTCCCAGTAGCTGAAATAATGGGTCCACTACAGCACAACAGATGTCCAGAGCTCCAAACTTAGGAAATTTAGTTCTAATTGAGATTCCACCAAACAAAAACCTAGCAGCAGGACATTTCAAGCATCTACCTTTGAGGACAGCCCTCTTGCACACACATTGCTTTGGCATAAAGAAAGCCATGATTTTCTATCAGCCTGCAGTAGATATGCACATGCTTATGACATTGTAGGCATGTGTGTATGTAAATATATACATTACTGTTAATGTTTTGTAAGCTTTTGTGTATACACAGACATCTGTATGATACATAGAAAACAGGCCTTGAGGAGACAAAGTAGATGAAGCATTACTTGAGAAAAAAAACAAACTGAGCACCATGCACTATTAATGGCACAAAAAAGGCTCTTAGGAGGATGCTCAGGGATTAGCCTTGTGTTCTTATGCAAGGATGGGCTTCCCCGACTGACAGACTGAAGAGTTCAGCTAGGGTGAGCTGTCACTTCTGTGAAACCTGGAGTACACAGCGTCACATTTTGTGAGATGTTTCCTTCATTATGTTATCTCTTTCAGACATTCCTCCTAGGACGCTGTATCACAACAAGCAAGAGAGCAAGACAGCATGCAAGCATCTGACTAGGGATCATACTTGCAGAAAACATCTGTAATGGGCTTCACCAAGAGAAAAACTATATAATAGGTATCTCATAAGAAAAAAACCCTACTCTGACCTTGCTAGAGGGTTAGCCTGATAAGACAACAAGGATGTTCCACAGAGATAGACCAGAATGAAACATCTGCCAAAATGCAGCAGGTCTGCAGACGTGTGTATCTGCAGCTGGTCAGTGATTCTGATTCACCTCAGTTGAACTGTTTCATCCAGACTGGGAAGCAGCCAGAGAGACTCTGACCTGCTTAAGGATATAGTCATTTAGGTTCTTAACTTTCCTCCCACTCCCTGCGACCAGTGGAGTTTATTTCTCTTGTAGTCTCTTAAATGGAGATTCTCTGAGAGTCATTCTCTGAGTGCTGTACTGAATCCCTGATCAGCCTTCAATCCTCATGTTTCACACCGTATAGGCTGACAATTACTTTGTTAGAACCAAGTTGGAAGCATTAAAATTCTCTTAAAAGTAACAAATGGTTTAATTTCTGATCGTAATAGCTATAATACTAATCTCAGTGACTGCTTACAGTACTGAAAACTGTGTATTGGACACGGTCCTCATTCTACGTTGAGATCTAATGAAGGATGAACAAACTTAAGG